GTACCTGAGACAGTTTCAAGGGAATGGTCTCCAGCTGAATATCACATTCAAAACGGGGACTGTGCCGAGACCGCAGAGGCTCCTTGGAGCAGTTTCTCTTCAACAGAGCAGACGCGCACACAGGCTCCAAGACGTAGTGATGGCTGCGGCTCTCCATGCTCCTGGCCACTGCCTCCTGCATGTCACAAGAACACCTGCTCTGCTCAGAATAGCTTTCTTTCTGGCCGACATTCTTTTACAGTGTCAGGGTTTTGACAGAAATGGCCAAGCTAAGCTATAGGCCGTGTCACAACAGCCAATGTTTTTAGGATCAAGTTACAGGTTGCTATGTTATCTAATCTACAGACTACTATGTCAGAATCCAAAAACAGTATAAAACCAGGTTTTAAAACTCTCCAGATTTTAAAATTTGCATTTCTATATCTTAATAGCTAATACATTCACATGGTTTAAAATTTAAAAGACCAAAAAGGTAAAGTATCACTTTCCTACTCTCACTTCCCAGTCAACCACTTACCCTCTCCAGAGACAACTAGTTATACCAGCTCAAGTCTCCCACCACAGACATTCTGTACACACTCAGGCCAATCTATAATTTTATTTTCTTAAATAAATGCTACATAAGCTGTTTGGTTTCATTTTTATAACACCATCCTATACAAAAACAGGAGAGCCAAAGATAACCTTGGGCCAGGGAAAAATCAGTCATTTTCCCCCTTTCACTTAAAACTTATAATTTCTTTAAAAAAAATAACAAACCGAGTTTTTTTCTCATCCTTCACAAACAGTAATATTTAATATCTCATGATTTATGACTTTCTAAATTATCTATTAAAGGAATGACATCAAAGGTGAAGTTTCAACATAAATGTAGTAAGAAGGTCTCTTTAAGGAATCAGATCTGGTGCTCTGTTCATTTAAAATCTGATGACCAGGATATGGTGGCTAAAAGAGTAGATTACTATAATACGATATGGTATAATATAACATAACATACGCACGCAGTAGAACACAATGGAGTAGTTAGAAGCAATGAACTAGAAGTACCAACATAAGACATCTTAAAAACTAGCTTTAAGTGAAAAATAAAATATAATGAAGTCTATATGCTCATGTATATTTAAAACAAACACAAAACACTCTATGTTAGAATTCACACACAAAAGCATCTCAAGCACACACTCTTGAAAGTGGATGCCTATGAAGGAAGGGGAAATCAGAAACGCCAAGGACAAAAACCCACATAGCAGTAGTCCCAACACTATTTCCCTTCAGTGTTATCATGCAATAAAGCTCTCTGCCAGATGGGGCCAGCAGGTGGTGTGGTGGTTAAAGGTGTTGGATTCCCACATGGCCAACCATGGTTTGAGTCCCGGACCTGGTGGCTTGCTCTATCGCTTTCCCTTTCTCTGTGTGTCACAGTATGGTTAAATTAAAATAATAATAATAATAACAAATGGAATAAATAAATATTTTTAAAAACATATTTAAAAAAAACACTCTCTGCCAGAATCATACCTGTAACTCCACCTGAGGCAAATCCCCCAGTAAAGTGCAATCGACATCCCAATAGATGCTGAACTCTGCCACATCTAATTGCTTCTTCCGCATTAGTTTCTGTACCTAAAGTTAAGAAAGATGGGAAGAAATTAAGATGACTGTCTACCCAGAAAGGTGTTCATGCACTCAATAAACCACTTATGGAGAATTACAGGTCAAGCACTTTCTAAAGCGCTGGAGATACAAAACTGAATTTAAAACATGGTTATGTTCTTTAAGAGTTCCTAATCTGGCCAACTGGGGATAAAGCATGCAAACAAATCATACAGTAACATACAGTAACATATCTCTCCATTTTCATGAAGGGATGGTTCCAGGACACCTCCTCTCACCCCTGCTTTCTAATGGATACCAAAACTTCAGATGCGCAAGTCCCTTATATAAAATGGCACGGTATTTGCATATAAACTATGCACATGCTCCCACACACTTTACCTCCTCTCTGATTACTGACAATGCCTAATATTGGGTTGTCTGGAAAGTCATGATGCATTTCTGCATAGAAAAATATGTAATTGGGAACCAGCAGTTAGCGTAATGGCTATGTCACTGGACTCCCACGTAGTCAAACGCGGTTTGCGTCCCAGATCCGGTGGCTTAAAACACACCAGGCGCATATGCGTGCATGCCCAAGATCCCGAGAGAAGAATGGAGGAGAAGGGATTGTGGCGTGACCATCCCCCCTGGGGGGTGATTTCTCACTTTCTGTCTCTATGTCTCTCTCTGTCTGTCTGGCGAGCACACGCGCCCTGTAGCGAAAACCTCTCCCAAAAAAAAAAAAAATGTCATGACTTTCCCAACAATCTAATATAATGTAAATGTTATATAAATAGTCATACTGCATTATTTTATTCCTATTATCTTATTATATTGTCTATTTTTTTATTGCTTTTTTTCCTCAAATGTTTTCAATCTAGGGCCACCTGATGGTGTGGTGGTTAAGGTAGCTAAATCCAGCATGGCTGAGTGTGCAATTCATGCCCTAGCCCAGTGGCTTGAAAAACATGCTGGGCTGGGACCAGCAGATAGTGTAATGGTTACGTCACTCGACTCCCACATAGCTGACCACAGATCGAGTCCCAGACCAGGCAGCTTAAAATTCATACCAGGCGTGTGTGCATGCCCAAGATACTGAGAGGAAAACAAAGGAGAAGGGTCTGCAGTATGGCCATCCCCCCTGGGGGAACAATTTCTCCCTTTCTGTCTCTATCTCTCTGTCTCTCCAGCAAGCATTATATGCCCTATGGCAAAAATCTCTCTTAAAAAAAAAAAAAATATGCTGGGCACATGTGCGTGCATGCCCAAAGTTCTAAGAAAATAGAAGAGAAGGAATTGCAACCCGGCCATCTCCCCTGGGGATGCTTTCTCTGTCCCTTGCTCTTTTTCTCTCACAAGTGCCCTCTAGCAAATTTTTTTTTTAAAGTTTTCAACTCATAGTTGAATCTGGAGATACAGAATCCATGGATAGAGGGCCAACTACATAAGATGCTACAAAGAAGAAAGAAAATGGCAGTGTGTGGATGGGTGCCAAAGGCAAACAACTGGATAGGCAGAAAGGATTGGGTCAACAATACCAAAGGTCTGATATGATGAGAGCGAGGTGGAAATATCTGTGTAGCTGGAATATAGCATGTTCAGTTTGGGAAGCAGGAACAGTACATGTGTACTGAGTATGTACTTGGAGTGGGAAGTAAAGAGTTGAAAAAGTTCCTTGGAATATTACTAGGTATACTAAGTTGAACAGTGTCCTCCCCTCCCCAAAAATTCATGTCCACCTGAAAGCTGTGCATGCAACATTATTTAAATGTAGGGGTTTTGCAGGTATAATCAAGTTAAAATAAGTTTAATATGGCCTTAATATAATGAGCAGTAACATTATACGAAGAAAAATTTTTTTAAATCACACACAGGGGAGAAGCTCATGTGAAGGCCAAGGCAGAAAATGGAATGTTTCTATAACACAAAGAACACCAGAATTGCCAGCAATCACTCAAAGCTTAGAGGGGGGCATAAAACAGTTTCTCCCTCAGAGCCTCCAGAAAGAACCAGACCTGCCAGACCCTTGATTTCAGATGTCTAGCCTTCAGGAAAGAAAATAAATGTCTGCTGTTTTAAGCCATCTGATCTGTGGCAGTGTGTTACGGCAGTTTGAGGAAACAAATACACTAAAAAAAGTTTACAGAATTTGGACTCCAAACTTAGTGACATAGAGACAGGGATCAGGAGCA